GTCCGCCTGTGTAAACACATTCGTCATTTTCAGCATTTTACTGGGCAGATTTGTTGGCCACTCTTTCAGGGGCACGCTATTAGATGGGCCAACGTTGCTCCCATAATAAGGACGGGTAGTAAAGAGAATGTAAAAACATCCATGCCTTGCCTGAGATACGAACCCTTTCCGATCCTTGAAAAAACAACAGCGCTTTCTTGACGAAATTCATCCCCCGCTCAGTCAGGAGGAGTTTGTTGCAATATGTACTCACGTTCCTTCCAGAAAGCAAAAGCAGGGTTGTAAAGTTTGTCTACGGTAAGAACTCCCCAAGCCACAAAGTGTGAGGCCGTCTGCTGCTATGGAAACAAGAATAACGCATTTCAGGGAGAGTAGCTTCTCTTCACTCTAGGTCAGGGATTGCCAAACTTTTTTGATCATCGACCCCTACATAATTTTTCGAAATCTCCATCGACCCCCATAAAAGTAATTTTCTGTTAATTAAAATAAAACTCTATTAGATACTGTGTTTGTACATTTATTTTATGATTTTGAACATTTATTAAAGTAATAGTACATAGTGTAACAATAGTTTTATGAAAAATATATTAATGTTGAAATATAAATACCTTAATATTTATGAAATAATAAGTAATTATAAGTAAGTAGAAATAATAAGTAAAGTAACTACGGATTTATTGCTTCTTAATCAATGACATGGGTGTGCCTGGTGTTTTTTTTTCTGCAAGGTTCGTTATATTGGGTTCAAAATTGGTCAATTTTAATCTTAAATCCCCTCGAAACTCCACATTTAATTTATTTCTGTTCTTAGTTAAGATTGAATTTACGTGACTGAAACCGGCTTCAACCATATAGGAACTTGGAAATGCTATCATAAATGGCTGAGCTATTTCGTAAAGTCTTACATATTTTTGCATTATATTTATATTTGTCCAAAATTTGCTTATTGTTAAATTTTTAAAAAGCGTCTTTGCTTCAAATCCCCATAATAATTCAGCAAGCTCATCTTGCAGGTTGATGTCCACGTTTTCAATTTGAGCAGAAAATGGCACAATAATCCAATCAGGGATGTCAATGTTTTCCAAATCAACAAAACGCAGTTTAAAATCGTCGCTCAATTTTTGAAGATTACCTGTATATATTTCCAAGTCTTCTTCTTTTATTTCTAATTGTCACATATCTGAAAAATACTGATAATCCTTCGACCAATCGATCCTTCCGGTTCGGATCGACCCCCATTCGACCCCCTGGCTCAGATCGACCCCCGCTTATGTTAAATAGACCTCTGGGGGTCTATATAGACCACTTTGGCGACTTCTGCTCTAGGACAACACAAAGAAAAAGGTTCCCTTTCTCTCACCCACCCGACCCAAAACCTGTCCTAAACAGTGACCCCACACCCCTATGTGAAATAGTTATACCTCGTTACCATAGTCACCGCTACGGACCCAGGCGAATGTCTAGGGGAATTCTTACTTTAGACAAACTATAGATCGTTAGTTATTTTTGGTATAGTTATACATATTTTGGCTTATTTGTTTTTCGTTACGTATTGAAAAGTTAAAATATATTTTTTAAAAATATTTTTTATTAATGTATTAACATTTACTCTAAAATAAAAGCATGCATTTTATAAATTATTTCAAACTTTAATTAAAAAAAAAACCCGTGTATTTTATTCTTTCTGAAAGGTTATAAATAAATTACTACAAAAGAAACACTCAGAGGATTGTTTGATGTTTTATTCTTGTTTTAAAATTATAAAACACATTTATTCTCATGGATATAGTTGAAAAGCTAAGCTTTTTAAACTGCTTGAAATGAGAAGTAGATAAAACAGTGAATGTCATAACTTTCTTCACATTTCGAAAGTTTATTTCATTTATCCGTTTAAAAAGTGAGTCCATACGCAGCTTTTTTTTTATATAGATTTTGTTTATTTATTTGACGTTTTTTTTCTCCACATATTCTTTCAAAATTTAAATACAAATATTCTAAGAGAAAAAAATTATAAATTTATTAATATTTTTTATTAGATAAATTTAATTTTTAAATGTTGCTTCTTAGACGAAATTCGTTAAGTTTAATGACAGTTATTTAATATCTTTTTGTTTAATCACTTTTTTGTTTGTATAAATATTTTTTACATAGAACGTATTATTTATTCATTTAACTTTATTATTTAGTTTTCATACTTACATTCCATTATTAAAATCTCAGTTTTTTTCTTTCTTTCTTTCTAATAAGAGATACGGGTGACTAGCTCAAAGCTATGCAGCTAATACCTATCAGATTATGTGAATATGGCAGTTTCTGTGTACATGATTCTAATAAATTTTTCATTTACTTTTTCTCTGATAAAAAAATGAACTTGTCATTTCTACTTTTAACAATAATTCGCATGTCTATTTGCCTAAAAGTTTCTATGCTACATTAAAAAATAAATTAAAATAATACTCAAGACTTTAATCTCCATTATTTGATATCTTTAAAGTTACATCGCTAAGATTTGATAGGTTCATTTTCAGTTTCTATAATTAAAACGTTAGTTATAGAAAATCGCAGGCGAAAAACATTTTTCTAAAAGTCATATTACATTTACTTTAAATGAATATGTTTATTTTTACCTAAAAATAAATTAAAAAGTCCAAAAAAGAAACAAAAGCATAGGAAATTCCCTTGTGCAAACTAATATAATAATTAGTAAATGAAAGTTTATGTGGCAATATTTGTGTTTTTGATATTTAAACTGTTCTAATTACCTTGTTCTAATTTTTGTCCCGCAGTGGACTGATCGTTAAGACACGGTTCCCAGCAGATCACCGAAGTCAAGCATCACTGGCTGCAGTCAGCGTGCGGGTGGGTGACCACTTGGATCAGTCTGCGTAGGGACCGAGGGTGTGCGGTATTGGTCCTCGTTAAACTGTGCTACCGTAAAGTGCTCGACTTCGCGTGCAGGTCGTCGGACTACCGAAGCTGGATTGCCATCCCCTCCGCAGAGGATCAAAATTGTGATGGCATGTCTTCGGATGCGACGTAATTAACGTCGCATCCGAATTAATTCGTGCGACGTAATTAATAATTCGTGCGACGTAATTAATAATTCGTGCGACGTAAAATAACAACAACTAATTACCTTTTTAATAGAAACGCATCAACTGTCCTCTGCAAAAATCATGCTATATTAAAATTTCGTTTCACATAATAAAATTTCAGGTTAAGAATTCACGCTAAAAAAAAAGTATAATTAAATTTTAACCGTAAAATATTTTCAGAGGTTAAAAATTCGTCGTAAGACTTCCGGGTTACTACTTCCGAATTGATTTTTGCTTCTAAATCGGAAAAAGCGCGCCATCCAATAATATTATACTTGTAGTGTTCGCAATAACGCGTTCTTTTAATTTAAATTTAAGCGAAACAAACAATAAATAAATACGGAACGCTTTGATACGATCCAAAAAACAAAAACAAATGGCGATATTTTAAGCAATTATAGCCAAATAAGAGATGATAAGCTGAACATGGCAAACCTTACATTTTATTTAAGTTGTGATATTGATTTTCTTAAATTTGTTTTAATCTCACGACCTGTTAGAATTTATAATTTACAGAAAACTCTTATGAACGGTAAAATTACGTTTAAATTAAAACACAAATTATAATAAAAAACAAATTAATAGAATATTAATTAGTTTTTCAATAGAATATTTTAGAATTTTAATAAGCCTGTTCACACTTCGCCTTGTAGGTATAACATAAGCGGAGGGATACACAGGAAGTTTTCTAAATTTCTTTCCGTTTTAAGAAGCTTATTATTAAGGCCCGGATTTTGATGACATTTGCATTTTTTGCATTTTTGGACATTTTTGTCTTTTAGAGCATTTTATTAGATTTTTAGGGCATTTATCTTTAGATTTTGGGGCGTATTTTGCNTGATAAGCTGAACATGGCGAACCTTACATTTTATTTAAGTTGTGATATTGATTTTCTTAAATTTGTTTTAATCTCACGACCTGTTAGAATTTATAATTTACAGAAAACTCTTATGAACGGTAAAATTACGTTTAAATTAAAACACAAATTATAATAAAAAACAAATTAATAGAATATTAATTAGTTTTTCAATAGAATATTTTAGAATTTTAATAGAATATTAAGCCTGTTAACACTTCGCCTTGTAGGCATAACATAAGCGGAGGGATACACAGGAAGTTTTCTAAATTTCTTCCGGTTGTAAGAAGTATGTTATGGATGGTGTTTTTTACACTAGGGAACGCTGCAAGCTCGGTACCGCCTAAATTTCCGGGTTACTGCTTCCGTTGTATTTTAAAGCCATTTGGCATCATTGTGTTTTGAGATTCTTGCAAACAATGTATTCGATTATTTATAACTTGTGTTTAAAATGCTAACAATACTAGTGTTTACAATGCTAAAAGTATTAACACTAACGTAAGATGGTGCACAACTTGCAACAAGAACAAACAGTAATAAACTTATGGAAAGAGGCCAAATCAAGACTGCAAAAAAAGCGAGTTATTCAAACAATATTAACAATATATCTCTAAATAACTAAAACATATTTTCACTTCAAACTCACCAGAATTACATAATAACAGTAATATCTCAGGAAATACGGCAGATTTGAGCTCAGAAATTATCTAATTTATTTCTTTTATTGAAAACAAAATTATCCGTTTGAAAAAATCGCCTCGCAGAATAACACGTAGTAAGCAGCTGCAAACTTTCTAACCGGAACTAGAGCAGGCATACAGCTCGAGATTATTGTTTACACTTCTACTGAAAACACCATCCATTTTCTTTACATTCAGGACACTATTTAAGCAAATAAAATTTTAATAAAAATGATATAATTCGTGATAAAACTTGTTTATTCAAAGTAAAGCAATTCACTATTTTCCATATTGTTGGTTTTAAAGAATAATTTAATTATAGTTTTCACTTTTATGTAGAAAATAATAGTTTTGTGAAAAATTTTCTAGGTTGTAACGGATGAAACGATGGTGGAATCCTGTCCTGCTGAGGACCCCTCGATCTCATGTTGCGGTCCTCACGTCTTCACATCCGTCCTCTTGGGCGTTCTCGCATGTGTCCTCATGACAGGAGGAGTCTTCCTGGCATTCCATCGATGGGATCCCCTCTGGCTGATCGTCTCAGGGGTCGGAGTTATTCTGGTGCTCATTGGTTCCATCCTCCACTGTTGCCGTCCATCAGGAGGAGGTGGCACCAAAGGATGCTGTCCACCCGATCACCATCTCCACCACAACCACCTCCTCCTCAATGGTGGAAGTCTCACAGAACAGTTATTACCTCTCAGTAATGCCAGGTAATTTACATAACCCATACAGAATTTAATGTTTAATTACAGGATGATAAACTGTTAATTACTGCATGATTATGGTTAATTACAGGATGACAGGAGATTAATTACAGGATAGGCTATTTTATTTAATTACCGTCGTTGAACAGTACACCCAATTTTTTGCGTATACGACCATTAATGTTTAATTCCGCAGCCTTGTAATTTTAAGCCCAATCCAGAAGACAAGGGATCTCCTCGATCAGCACCCTCAGAGGTACCGCCTTCGCGGTGGACTTTTTGATGGAACTAAAACGTATTTGCATCACATGAGGAGGAAAACCACGAAAAACCCTACAGACGTAAGGGGATTCTAACCCATGATCCGTCTATCACTGAGGATATTTTACGTCAGCACTGTGGTCGGTGCAAATCGGAGGCGGAATTCGTATCGACCAGCAATCGCTGGCATTCGAACCCGGTTCACCTCATTGGAAGGTGGACCCCCTGAGCCATCACGGCTCTAGCTGGGTTATTGGAGAAGGATGATCATCACAATAATTGATTTTCTGCTTTTGTTCTCTTTTCTGCAGTTTAATTGGAAAAAAAGACAAAAAAAAAAAAAAAAAAAAANAAAAAAAAAAAACGCTATAGATTTCGAATTTGATAACTATTTTTTCTTCTTTCTATTGTTAATGCTATTGACAACTATTTTTTTTTTTCTCTTTTTATTGTTAATGAAATGTAATTTGAAAAACTGATAGAAAAAAATTTATTTAAAAAAAATTTTTTTTTTTTTTGTTTGCTGATTTTAAAAATTTTTAGCAGATTTTATTTAAAGCTGATTTTACAAAAATGCCAAATAAATAAATAATCTCAATGTTGAATTTTATGTCACTGCACGGATGCTATTTTTCTATTGCACTGCAGCTTTATTGTAGAACTGTTTGACTAGGACCGATTTTGCGCACCCTCGATCCCTTCTCAGGCTGATCAAAATGGTCACCCAGCCACCCACCGACCGCAGACACTGATGCTTGACTTCCGCAATGTACGTAATCTTACAATGTGGATATCAACCTATAGGATTTGTATCCTTTTCAATGCCTGTTTTTGTAGTAAACATTTACTGAATCTTACTGGGGATTTGAATTCCCTAAAATCCTATATTTCCGAAAGCATTTTTTTAATCAGATTTTTAAAAATAATTTCGTTGCATAGTAATCTGAATACGAACAGATCACCTAAAAAGTTAATTACCCTGCAGACCAGAATTTTGTACTTTAATTATGGCTAAGTACGACATACGTACTTGACCATTTACATACCATTACTATACGCATTTTGAGCAGTACCCTTTGATGTAAACCGAACGTAAGAGAACTGTTTTTTTTTTTTTTTTTTAGTTTTCTGTTATTTATGTAAGGACTTCTAGATTAAATATAAGAAAGGGAAGTACATTTTTCTTAAAAATGTTGATCTGTCTTACTTTATATAAACATTAATACATATCATTAAAAAAATGTATATAAAATTAATTAATGTCAGCAAATTTAAAGATAAAATTGCTTAAAATACCATCGCATGTTCTGATCTTTTTTTAAAAACTTGTTAAATAATCTATTAACTTCTTTACTACATGCAAAGGCATATTTTAATCATGTTATCAATCTAAACAAATTGTTATTATATATATGCATTATGTTTCTATTTATTCTTGCGTTTTCAAAAAAAAAAGGAAAAAAAAATGCGTAATAAATATTTATTAAAGAAAAGTTGATATTTTTAACTCTTTATTCAAAATATTTATTAATAGTTGAGAAAGTCAAATAATTTTTAATACTTAAATTAATTTTAATTTAGAACTTAAAATATTATTTTACCTTTTTTAGAAAAAAAAATAAACCTGCATTAAACAAAAGAAAAAAAACTTGTTTTTGGGTACGTTAGAAAAAACTTGCTAAAAAAACAACAACAACCTTGGTATTCATTTTCTTAAACACAGGGTTGCCACAGGCGGCTAAAATGCAACGATTTTCAGTCTGAGGCGACTTGCCTGAAAACTTTGACTTTTGTTGTTGCCTGAAAAGGCTAAAAAAGCAACTATTTTCAGGAAAAGGGAACTTTTCTGTGCTCACAGCGATGTTTTTTTTAATATTTTATTTTATTTTTTTTTAAGCATAAATTTTGTTGACAATCCGTGGGAGCTTCTGAACACAATGAATTTCTTTTTCTTAAAAAAATAAAAAATGTTGATAATGTGCAAATTTGAGTCCTCACTTTTTAATGCGCTCAATTTGCTCAGAATTCCATTGCGCCATTCCAGAATTTCATTCTCGATCGCCTTTTCAACGGTTATATCTACGAAATTCAGCATGATTTTAAAAAACCCAATTTTTAATACGATATTACGATGCGTGAATTTCAAATTTGAAAAATCACTTTTTCACAATATACAGTCAAACCCCGCTATAGTGAACTCCCGGATATAGTGAACGAAATGTTAGGTCCCGTGCCTTGCTATACACGTATAATGTTATTTTTGTGGATATAGTGAACCAAAAAAGTGAGGAAGTTGGATATAATGAACTTTTTTCTGTCTTGAACTGATTTTTTTCTTAATTTTTTTTGTAATAATTTTGAAACTTCTACTTCAAAATAAATACATATACTAATTTTTAAAACGATTTATAGAGGGGAATCTAGCGATAAGCATTTTTTCTTGTTTTCTTCTTTTATCTCACTTTCCCATCCCTAAGCAAACCAAGCAGATGTTTCCAACTCAGGCAGATGATGCACCTGTAAGGTGTCAGTGGGATCAATATGCATTTTCTGTCAGAGGGAATCAGTAATTATTCATTATTGGTCCAAGGGTGGGACTCTAATATGTGTTGATAAGGCTCTCAGTTCAGTTAAAAAAATCCTGCAAACAAGTGTCTCAAATGTAACTATGGCGACCAGTAAACGCAAAACGTTCTCCATTGATGATAAAATGGGCATAATCAGAAAAATTGAAAATGGATGCAATCAAGTTGATATTTGCAGGGAATAGAAACTATCCAAATACATATGTAACATATGGAAAAAATAGGCAATTAATAATTTCTGCTCATGAAAAAAATTTAGATGGCTGAAAAAAGTTGAAAAAAGCAGATCACAAGGATGTTGAAGAAGCATTACTGAAGTGGTTCACCAATCGAAGTATCTGGACAAATGTAGATGAACTTGCTTAGCGATTTTATGAGACTACTTTTATATGCTCGAATGGCAGGTTAGACAGGTTTAAAAAGCGGAATAATAGAAATTCAGGAAAAATTATCTGATAGTCAAGAAGTGTTTCCATATCTGATGTTGAGAATTGCTCATCAGCTAAAAATTACAAATTTTTTGTTGCACGCAAGACAAAGAGTAATGAAAAATAACACATTTTTTGCTATTACATAATATTTTTTTTCATTTTATTTTATACCCGCCGTTGAACAGCCGGCCCAATTTCGAGTTTACGGCTACTAATGTTCAACTCCGTAGCCCTGTAATTTTTAACCAATCCGGAAGACAAGAAAACTCCTGGACGAGTACCCCCAGAGGTATGATTTGTTACGGGAATACGGAGGACTTTGTGACTCGACAGATTCAACGTGCATCAGTCACCATTTACTACACGGGGAGTCTTCGACCGACGGGAATCGAACCCACGCCCTCTTGGACATGGGCCCAGTGACCTACCAACCACGCTATCCCGGCCCTTTAGTCATATTATTTTTTTTAACTGTCTTTGAACAGAAGCTTTGGGTTTACAACTACTTATGTTCAACTACATAGCCTTTTAATTTTGAACCCAATCCAGAAGACAAGGGAACTCCTGAATCAAGTATTGGGAGAAATTTGCCTTCGTGGAGGAATTTTTTTGATGGGACTTACCTGCATTTGCGTTACATGGAGAGGAAGACCATGAGAACCTCCCACGGTTAGCCTGACGGCAGGGGGACTCTAACCGTGATCCGTCTACCACTGAGGATATTTCACGTCAGCACTGTGGTCGGTGCAAGCCGGATGCGGAATTCGTATTGACTGGGATTCAAACCCAGTTCGCCTCATTGGAAGGCGAATGCTCTGTCCCTTGACTCATCGCGGGTCTAGTCATTTTATTGAAAAAATTTTATTCTTATTTAAGCTACTATTTACATGCTTTAGGCTACTAAAAGCAATTCTTTCGTTTATTTTTTTTTTCTGTGGCCACCCTTTAACCAGAATAATAAAATAAAAAAACTCTTTTTAAAATGCATGTTTCAGATCAGTGAGTCAGTTGTCCCTGAATATGCTGCCAGGATATTTTCCTCCGATGGTGACAACATACGGAATCGAGCAGCATTCGGCTGTTGTGCAGAACATTAATCGACAGCAGCAACCTGGAAAGAACTTAATTCTTTTATCTCTACCTGGAAATACTCCACAGGCCAATATACAGAATCTTGTAGCTACAGTCTATCAGTTGGATGGAAGGTAATTTTATTTCCTTCTTTTTCATCCATTTTCGATAATATTTAAAAAAAAAAAAAACTTTTAGAAAACATTTATCTCGAAACAAGAAGCATAGTAGTAATTAGATCGATAAAGGAAAAATAATTTGAACTTTTGAAAAAATGATTAAACAAGATATGTTTGTATATGTATATAAATTATTAAAATAAAACATTAAAAAAAAAAGAAAAAAAAAGCATATTAAAAAGCCGGAAAACAAAAAATTAAAAGATATAATCTCATCATCAGCTCACACGATTATATCAGCAAAAAGGAGTGCTTTCTAATACTGTAGCACTATAGAGGAAGCAAAATATATCGAAACTATAGTGTGAAGAGCACTCAGAAAAAAAAATTGAAACAAAATGGAACACATTAAATAAAAAATGAAGAGATTATATCCTTTCATTGTTTTGTTTTCCGGATTTTTAATATATTTTTTTTCTTCTTCTCTTTTCATTAATTTGCAATATTTTTAACTTATCTTATGAGTTCTATATAATCGCAGGTTATGCACAGTATATAAAAATTATTAATTCTCTTCGTTTTTCTATTTTTATCCTTTTTGTCTTTATTGTGCTATAGACAATCCGTTATTTGCGTTTTTTAAATGAATCAAATATGACGTTTGCCAGTTCCACAATCAAGCCAATGATTTACAGAGGTTTCTGCACAGAAATCTGAAAGGGGTTTTCCAATTAGGTAGATGTTCATAATTGCGTTTAACGCTTCTCGTTTAAGACCAGTATCTAATGTGTTTTTTTTTTTTTGTAAGTTCATTGCTGAAAAGCCTCTTTCAACCGCTGCAGTACTCCCAGACAGAGAAAACATCAATTCCAACATGCTCAGTATGTTGCTGTATTTCTAGATTAGAGGGTCATTTTAGAAGTGAGACGCCAGACTCTTGTAAGATAACAAAAATTTAAAATGTATCACGAACATTAACAGGAAAATGGCCGTTCGCGCGGACGTCGGATTCGAGAACTTTGTTGTCCGCGGGGAATTTTTGACCGCCGAGGACGGGCGGTTTTTCGAGCCCTGATATATATATATATTTATATATATCAGTGATCGGAAAATGCGCTTCCATTAGCAAAGCTACAACTGTAGTTGCTACTTGTTTTTTTTTTTTTTCAATTTTTATGATAGTATTAAAATTGAATTAGATTTTAGGCATTTTTTTCTGAGTTGTACAGTTAAACGCAGAAATTATGATTCACATTTTGTTTTCATATTTAATGAAAAAAAAAAAGCATGAAAAAAGATGTTTAGGCAGAATAAAACATTGCAAAATTTATTCAATTGATTTATTTTGAACTATTTATTTATTTATTGTTTTAAAGATATCTACTTGTAATAGTTATTTATCATACTTTCTTAATAATATTCTATTATTATGTCTTGATTTCTATTGTTATTTCAAATAGGGATTCTTTTATTATACTATAAAGTATCCTTTAATATAATTTAAATCCTTTAATATTACAGCATAATATAACAATTTATGATAAACATATTGTAAACGGTATTTTGCAATTATTAAAAAATTAATAAAGTAAAATAAAAAAGTAGTTAAAATTAAAGAAGGTTATATTTACTTATACCAGCGGGTGACCGAGCTCCGCTCGGAGAAAATAGGTATCGAAGCTTCGAAGATTTAAATTTTCAATTGTGATTTATCAAAACAATACATGCCATAAGAAAATTTGTGAAACCATTGGTGAAAAGATAACCGGTTAAAGTGCACCATTNATTCTTTTATTGTACTATAAAGTATCCTTTAATATAATTTAAATCCTTTAATATTACAGCATAATATAACAATTTATGATAAACATATTGGAAACGGTATTTTGCAATTATTAAAAAATTAATAAAGTAAAATAAAAAAGTAATTAAAATTAAAGAAAGTTATACTTACTTATATAATATGCTGTGTATAAAACTGATTTTAGTTAATATAATGAATGCAAAACTGTTATTGAGAATTAACTTTGCACAGCATTACTTATAATAATTTATTTTGCAAAAAAAAAAAACGATTTTTTTAGTAACCAAAAATTAAATAGGAATTTAAAAAACAAAGATTTAGATTAAGTTTCAATGGAGATAAGCAAAAATTTAAATTTTTACAAAACACTCTGTTCCAAAGAAATAAAGATATTAACCTAGAAATCTAAAACTTTCTTAAAAAGTGGTTACATTGCAACAAAATAAGTGTTAGTTTTCAAACATTTAACTTTCATGTAAGAAACAAATCCTACAATCTCATTAAGGACTCAGAAATAAAAATATTTCTGAAAAAAAAAAAAAAACTCAACCCGTGGTTTGGATGAAAAACCTTCAACCCTGTTTTGTTGTCACTACATTAAAAAAAAAAAAATGTAGTTAGATACATTTGTAACTACAAAAATAATGTAGTTTTTTCTGACCATTGATGTACAGTGAAAGAATTCGTATTAGAGCGGGCGTAGTAGAACACTAAATAATGGTGCTAACACTAATAAAAAGTGCGATTTAGAGGATATCTAATGTTTTTAACGCCTGCGATGAATATTACTAATTTTTTAAAACTTATTTATTTGAACTTATAAGTTTTAAAAGCCTTTCCGTCATTTGTTATTGGCAATTTAAATGTTAATGAAATTAGCTTTAAAATATAAGAAATTAAAAAAAGAAAGTATTTTAAAATTTAGAACTTCCAAACTTATCGCGGATGGATGTGAAATCTGTACAACGTAAAATCTGAACTGACAAACGGTAAAAAGTTAAATTTTATCGTACTTTATAAGCGTCATTAAAGCTTAGAGGATACGATTTTGCTTTAATTGGCCTTGCCTACTTGAAACTTCATTCAAAGATGGTAATAAAATTCTACTAGCTCTAAAAATTCAATCTGAAGACTCAAAAGAGTAAAGAAAAGTGGATTGCCAACGAAAAATAAAGGGGGAAACAAAAGACCGCTGAAACTGAGATTAAAAAAAAAACAAAATTAGAAAAGCCCCAGAGGCAAATTTATGACCTAATTGTTTATGAAATCAAACGGGCTCACTTTTACCTAAATTATTGACTTTTTCACACCATCCAGACAAACTAGCAACGAATAATCCCAAGAAGATGAGTTGAAAAGATATATATTTGATGATTTTGCTTAAAAATCATGAAGATAGCAATACTAGTCGACATGTTTCAAAAGCTCAAAAAGGTGGTTTCGCATGTTCACCAGATGTGTTTGATGCCTGGAAAGTCTTGAGAATATGTTTTTGAGTGCCATCTTCATGATTTTGAAGTAAATTGCCAAGTAATTGAAAAAGTCAGTCCTTTTAGATTTTATACTTATTAATGATATAATTTTGTATTTCCACACAGTGTGCTGGCAGAAACTTCCAATTCTTCAACGGATCCACCAGCCACGACGCCTCCAGTTAGTTCCTCAGCAGTTCAGAGCAACATTCCAGTTTTAAAGAATGCCGAAGTTCAAACTTGTGTGGCTTGGCCAGTGCCAAATGCTGCCATAAACAATGCCTCGCCCAGCACAAGTAACGACTGTTCCCCTATCAGTACTCAAACGGACGATGTTGCCATTAATTTAATGGACTGTTTACCCGATGATCCAATCTGTGATACCTCATTTGCATCCAACGAATCACCCGCGATATTAGTGGACATTTCTGAGGATAGTGAACCCGAATCAATAACCAACAACATCCCAGATACCACCAGTCTTTCGTATACACAACTCCCAATAGAACCCTCAGAAGTGCTGGTTGCTGAAATGTTGACATCATCTAACAGCCTGCAAACAGCAGCTGCTGAAAATGTTGAAGAATCACCTCCTACCATTCATCGAACGACGGACTCGCCTCCTGTACCTGTCGTAGAATCAACGGATGTCGTGCAGAACAATCTTTCATCTTCTCTCGTTGATGTGGTACAGAACGATCTTTCATCTTCTCTCGTTGATGTCATACAGAACGACAATTCATCTTCTCTCGTTGATGTCGATTCCTTAGGTAGATCATCCCCACCTCCTAGCTATGAGGATGTTCAGGGTGAGACTTCAGTGGGTGGTGTGTTTGGTTTAGCGTATGGAACGCTGTAAATCTTGTTTCTGTCAGTGTTAATTTAAAATTAAGGTGCAATGTTATATTAAATTTTTTTTATTTAAATATCTCTACTGTTTTATTTAATACGTAGCTGCCAACTGTACTGGATTTTCCAGTAGACTGAGCTAGTTTCTCCTAGTTTAATTTAAATTTTTCTACTTTTTGCATATTTTAGAAAATTCCCTAAAGTTGAGTAAATTCCCTAAAAAAAATCCCTGTTGAAATAAAATTTTTGTACAGATTATTGCTTGCCTGCTTGCTAGAATAATTAAATAAGTATTACTAATAACATATTGAAGCTAACTTGATTTATAGAAATCAGTTCAAAACTTTTTTTTTTCAAAAATGTTCAGAACTCTTTTTAAGTTAATTAAAAAAAATCTTTTAATTATTTTTGATGAATTAAATGCCTATTAATATTCAAAATTATGAGTAAACATAATACATAACATTTCAAGTATGTTTAATGTCAATTATAACTGGAGAATATTAGGTACAGTTTTTCTATTTTGATGACTATAAAAATCCTAGAATTCCCTATGCATAAAATATTTAGTACAACAATTATTATAAACATTTCCGTTATTTTTAAAATCTACTGGATTTTTTCCTATTTATGTTGACAGCTACGGGTGATTATCAAAATAATGGAAACACTTGTGAATAAAAGGGTCATTTAAGAATTCGCTTCATAAGCATTAAAATATAATCTTAGCTACCAGTTTTTTAAATATAAAAAATACATATATTAGGTGGTATGAGAGAGCTTTAGCGGAGTTACCTACGTTTTGATTTTTTGTCAGAAGCGTAAAATGTCAGACCTCACAGATTTTCAGAGAGGCCAAATTGTAGGAGCCCGACTAGTTGGAGCAACACTGACCGAAACATCCCAGCTTTTAGGCGTTTCTAGAGGTACGGTGTCTAAATTCATTACAGCATACACACAGCTCGGAAAGACAAGTTTAACAAAGCAAAATAGTGAACGGAAGGAGAAGCTGAGTGAAAGAGACCGACGGGTATTGAAGCGGATTGTAATGTCTAAAAAGAAAACAACTGCAGCCACAGTGACCACAGAGCTCAATCAGCATCTGGATTCTCCAGTGTCAACAATTACAGTTAGGAGATACCTTCATAAAGAGAACATTTACGGCAGAACAGCAATTCCCAAGCCTTCAAAATCTAGGGTGTTTCCATTATTTTGATAACCACCTGTATGTTTAATAGAATTGCACATCTTAATTTGTTTTCATGTTTCCCCAAGAATGCGTACAAAAGATGTCGCAGGAGAAGGAAAAAATAAGAAAATCACATTCTAAGGACAGGTCCCTAGCTTCCCAGTAGACTCTTAGAGGATCGCTTCAGGCGTTATCAAGAAGTACGAGGTTTCTAGCAAGGCAGTATTGCTAGGCATGTCGGAAATATATTTTTGCACTTACAAGTCATTCTTAAAAACTAATCTAACTGCATTGCAGAAAGGAGGATCACTTGTAGTTTAAGTATATTTTATAGACTTTAAATAAGAGATATCCAGGGCCTGATTAACCCTTAAGTAAATTTAAGAATATTTAGTCTCTTGGGACCACTTTTCGTGGAATCGCTTAGAAATAAAATTCCCTGTATTTTCCCAGTTTATATAGAAAAACTCAAAATTCCCTGCATTATCCCTGTTATTTTAGGAGATTTTGAAATTCCTTGCATTTTCCAGGTTTTCCCTGTTCCCCCTGTGGAGGGGCAAATCTGTCTGAGGAAAAATATTTCAACAGTTGATTTCCATTCCTGCGTTAAAATTAATGCGATATTTTTGAGCACATGCGATAATGAACAAAAAATAGCACTTAAGTGTACGAATGAATATCAACATTTACTAGAAATGGGTAATCAAGAATGACCTTAAAACAGGCAATTAATGCTTCTTTTTAGAAAACACGTCTTTGATAAAAACAATTTATTAACAAAAGAATAGTAAATAAATAAGTGTCAGGATGAAGTATTTTGACATGATTTATGGAGGCCATTTTTGATCAAAAACTCTTTACTCTGGTGGGATACAGCACCGTGATTGAGTTGGAAATCACACAAAGCTTTCAGGGGATGCAACAATGCCTGCAAATAAAACAATCAGAATAATTTTAATTTTTGAAGGAAAACTTGAAAAATAGAATTAAAAAAATAAAATAAAATCTGGAGGTTTTTTTTTATAAAAAGAAAGCCGCATTACAATTTTAAAAAAAATAAATAAAATAGAGGATAATTCAAGATGAATATAGTGATTACCATAACTATTTAATGAAAAATAATTAATCAATAAGATTAACATAGAATGTAGATGGACTTAGCCAAATTTGGGCCCGGCCCTCCCACCCCCTCTGCTTCAGTAATGAAGAACCGAACTTTATGGAGGTATTGAAATTTTTCACCTCATGATAGATAACAAGAAAATTGACTAGAACCTAAAATAGCATTAAAATCCTCCCCCCTTCCAATGGTCAAACGAAATATCGTTCTGTCCATTTTATTGGTTTCCTGACAATTCTATGTCCATCATGCCAAATACAGTTTTCTGATTGTTTTAACTTAGTCATCTAGCTGCGAAAAATTCATATCCCGGCTGACATTAGGGCAGAATTCTGAATTCTTGCAATAACAATGGCTCAATTAAACCAATCAGAAGCATGTATTTTTGTAAACATATTGCATTTTGCGACAGGTAAAAATACAGGCTTTTAATTGGACAAATTTGTCCATCAGAATGGCGAAAATTTAGGTGAATTCCGCTAACTGTTGAAATTACATAAGTATTAAAATGAAATAAAATATTGATTATTGATATTAAGTGTTAATTAATAATTTAAGTAATGATTGTAACATAGAAATAAATTATTCAAACTAAATAATTATTGAATTAAAAAAATTACTCCTTAAAATAGATTGTATTTCCTCTGCCTAAAATAATTGTTTCTACTATTATTCTAGCAATTAAATGAAAAGTTTTGACATTAAGTGTGAAAGCTTTTTATTTTTTGACGCTTTTTACATTAAGAAAATAAAAGTAATAAATTAGCATTTAAAAAAATATATATTCTACCATTCTAATTCAAGGTACATATACAATTCTTTCAACAAAAAATAAGCAGCTTTTAAGTACTTTTTAAGCACTCAAAAAATATTTTTAAGCACCATACACATTAACAAAATGCAAAATAATTTTCCAAGACTTTACATGATCATGATAAAAAATAACTAGTTTCTGACAAAGAACTCTTTTTCTTGACTATATTAGCCATTATACAGAGATCAAGAGATTTCTTGGTTCGATATCAGGGGGTAAAAAATGAAGCCTAAAATTGAAAATATCTTGCAAAATGCAGAGTTGCACATGAGAGTGCAATAATCTCACTGAACCCTGGCAAGTATTTGATCCAACATGTAAAATGATTGGCGCTTTCATAAGCTATGGACCGACAGTAAGCCAAAATGGACTGTGGTTAAATTAATTATGAAAACATTGAATAGAACAATGTGAAAAGCAAGCTTTTACACAATACAATGGGGAAAATCGACAAGGTAAAGAAAAAAATTTCATTTTCGAAAAGGGAAAATTAAGCACTTTTTAAAAAAGCTTTACACCATGTAATAGAGATTTTGACTGCTATTTAACTCACTGGAATGGAGTTCATAATCATATCAAAAAAGAATTTAATTCCGGGAGGAATTAAGAGTTTGCAATATGCTATACCGACATTCATGGACTGGAGTTATTAAGTAAAGAATTCAAAATATTAAAGCAATTAAAAAAAATAATAATACATCCTATGGAAAAACGCGCTTAGCAGCAGCGAATCCAAAAGGAATTGAACAAATGAGACAATGAAAAAAATTGGAAAATATGTCATAAGTCAGATGTCATAAAAGCAAAACCTTTTCTATCGAGAAAGCAAGACAAAAGTTTAAAATTGCTTTCTCTGTACCCAAAGGTTTTGACAAAGTTCAGAAAAAGAATAGAATGCATAAAATACAATAAAACACAGAAGAATACGATGTAAAATACAGAAGCATATACAGTAGAATAAAAACAAGACAAATACGAAAGAAAGGTAAGAACGAAAGCTTACTTGAAACAAAAAAATCCAATAGCTAAATAACACAATCAACTGCAAGACACAACAAAAATAAAATAATCATAAAAACAACGCCCGCTATCCTGCACAGTTTAAAGAAAATAGGACAGAAGTTAAGTAAGTAGTGACGTCATTGAAAAAAAAGCTTGACCGAAGAGACTTGAACAAGATTTGAATTTTGCTAAACCAAATGAAAAACTAATAATTCTCAATAATTTTCTTAATTTTAAAATCAATATTCAATATTACAAATATTAAATAAAAAACCATTATTTTCTTAATTTTTTAAAAAAATTACTAGTTGCATCTTGAAAACTTAAAATATTATTACAAATTTTACTGATTCTAAACAATTGAGAAAAAAATAACTTTAAAATTAAAAGCATTTCTTTTATCATAAACACCAATTTTAATTTGTTTATCAACAATATCAATTTTTAAATCTAAATATTCAACACTTAAGCAATTATCATTAGTTTTCTTCAAAACTAATTCTTTAGGATAAATATTAAAAATAAAATCAAAATTATCACATTTAAATAAAATTAAATCACAATATATCTAAAAGCTTTAAAATCACTAAACTCACTAAATCTAGCAACAAAAAATGTAAAAAAATATTAGCAAAGCATCAGAAAAATAATTACCACAAGGAATCCTTAAAGTTTGTTTATAAAAATTAAGACCATTAAAAAGTACATTTTCAAAAAGATTAAACTTGTAAATATATCCATAGAATTATAAAAATTTGTACCACATGCAATAAATCTAAATTTTACTGGATTCTTATGAAATTTAACAATAGGAAATAAATATGGAACAGCAATTTTATTAAATTTTAATTTTTTACTAAATGCAATCCTTTTTTCAATAACTTTTTTTATCTTTAATTTAAAATAAGTATTATTAGCATTATATTCCCCAATAATTAATTTTTAAAAAAAATATTTACACATAATAAAAAAATTATTAGATGCTTTGTCAACAACAGTAATGATAAATTTATTTTTAAGAATTTTAATCTTTTCAAACAATTCAAAATCAATAATGGTACCCTTAGGATAAATAAAAAATCTGGAATTATATAAATTATATTTAACTCTTTCAACTATTTTTGTTTTCCCTTCTGTAAAACCTTCAGTGGGCCAATGACATTTTCTAGAAAGTTTAGTAATAAAAAAATCAAGATCTTTTTTAACCGATAAAATAAATTCATCATTTTTCATTTTATACCTAGTCCTGAATTTTGAACCTTTACTCATAATATTAATTAAACCTTGATCTCCAACAATTTCTAAATTTCCTGTAATAACGTGACCATAATCTTTATCAATATATTGAGAAATATCTTCATCTTTACAATGACAATCAGCCAATGAAATATAATTTAAATTCAGACTTAAAAAATTATTGTTAGAAAACCTTTTTCTTAAAGTAGGGGAATATTTATAGGCAGCTAAAACTTTAACTTGTTTTAAAGAAAAAATATTGAAAAAACAATGAATAACTTGTGAAATTCTAGCAATTTCAAATTTTTTATCATGAAAATTAATGGTAGAAAAAACCTTCTGAACATTAGAAACCTTTTTGAAAAGCAAATCAGTTTTATAAACCCCAAGCTTTGATTTAACTAAATCCAAAACAATAATTTTAATAAGCTCAGTATCAAATTTAATTTTATTCCCAAATTAAAAAAAGAAATTTTTAAGAACTTTATTTTTATAGCCAAAAATATATTTCCAGGTAATAAAAATATTAATAAGGTCAACATAATAGTTACAAATTTTCAAAGATTCATCAAAATCAATAATGCACCAGACCCCTTACCTTTACCTCTTTTGTATAAAAGCTCTAAGAAAATTAAAAACTTTAAATTTATCATAAACACAATAGTTATCAATAGTACCTTCACCATTAAATTTACTATTTAAACCATAAGGAAAAAGGGTTTTAAGACTGCTAATATAAATATATAAATTTTCTAATTTTTCATTGTCTTATTCATGGAGTCATGACGTTACAAGAGCATCATTCTGACCAGATTCAGTGGAGCCGATAATAGAACCTCTAGCTTAAGAGATGATGCAAATATTTACATTAAAATTAAAGCCGCCTAGAGAGTCTGTCTCATTCAAGTTATGAATTGTCTCTGTGATGTTTTTATGCCAGAGATGTACTAATTTTGCGACGAATAGTCTCACAATAATTGTGTGCAACGGATTGATGCAGAACCATTTGGAAGATTCACAAGAGAAAAAAAAACTTATAAATAAGAATATATATAAGATTTAATTATTTTTTGAAACACTATTTAGAAATAGAAGTAGACATTGAATTCTATGGTAGTTTGAAATAGCCCTGCGTCAATCTTTTTTTAAGCTATCTGTGACTAAACTCTCTAGCACTAATATCTTTCTGCAACACACTTCAAATAATAACAAATATGTATGTTACTCATTTAAAATAACAAAAGCGCTGTGTTTAAAATAAAAACTATTTGGAAAAAATAAATTGTATTTATACTTTATGTAATATTTTTTTTACTCTTATCTTATGGGCAATATTTTTTTAAGAGGTCCCTTTTTTGCATTTTGCAAATCATCATTGCATAAAAAAAAAAAGATTGAAGACGAAAGCATGCAAATCGGACTTTTTAAACAGGGGTTACTCAAATGAGTGTTTTGTTTCGAGATTAGATCTTTTTTTTCCTTTTAAAAAGAGTGAAAATTTGTAGCAATAATTGCCAGGAAAAAATTATCAAACCACTACATACATTTACAATGGAATCTGTCCAACTTGTGAGCAATAAAATGAAGACTAAAATGCGTGATTTAAAATTTTCATGTGCGTAATATATTAAAAATATTCGATAGATTTTATTCAATTAAATTTATAAAAAAGGGGAAAATGTTACATATTAATTAATTCTTTGGCTATAAATCTGAATTTGTAACCAAATCCCCACTCATAGTCATATTTTATTAAAATGCAAAAGATGGTGTCCTTTAAAAAATGAAAGGAAGGAACATGATTTCTAAAGTGAACTATCTTAAACTTTCGCGATTTTAGAATATACATACTTTTATTATTATCCATTTAAAATTTTGCTGAAGCGAAATTATCTAATTTTATTTCTCAAATAGAAAAATAAGAAAATAGAGAATAGAAAAATTGTGAGCATTTATTTCCTTCTGATGCTTGAGAAATTCATATTTGGAATATAATTCAGCAGGAAAAAAAAAAAAAATCTTTCTAAAATTTTTGCAGAAAAGATACCCGAAATTTTTTACTTCCTAAGAGAAAAATCTTTCTTCAAAAACTCAGTAACATTCTGCTACAATATCGCCGTGATTCTGCCACGGGGTGAAACACTATGTAATGCATCTACCACTGCAAAAATATAATTCCAATTCACTAGTATATAAGACATGTTAACTTGATTCTATGGTGCTACCTTTTCATCTATACCTTTTCATAGATGAAGGTTCACATTGTCGATAACTACTACCCCCCCCCCATTGGTGACCTGGACGTGATGTGAACACGCCTACTTCAATGGATGGTTCACACTGAACAGTTGACTTGCTACTTGTGACTACGACATTGTCCTCCTCACGCTGTTGCTTCTCAGTCTCGATCACACATACAACATATGCACTCGACTGCTAAAGGCAACACAGGAGCGACCACGCCTGGGAACTTAATACAGCACTAAAAACAAACAGTGTTCTTAATACAGCTCTCCCGGTTTTCACATAAAAAAAGCAATGAATCAATCAGTGGTATCCGTTAATCGAATCTATCGCAGATATAATTCTGGTGGGGGAGTACTGTAGTGTACTTACCGCTACAAAAATACAATTCCAATTCACTAGTACATAAGACTTGTTAACTCGATTCTATGTTGGGGTACCTTTTCATAGATGGAGGTTGACATGGTTGATAACTACCCTACCCACACACATTATTTTTTAATATGTCACATCATTACATCTCACAATAAGCTCATAACATTAATATACAATAATAGTATCAAATAAAAAAAGATTACGTGTTTGAAGTGCGAATTTCCTTCCAAAACTGACAATGCTATAGCAGCTGTTTCAACTGTAGATAAAGATCCCTCTGTTGGCTGAGTGCGAATAACATATTCACTAGTTACTTCAGAATTTATTTGAACCTAAAATAAAACAATTTTATTTAACTTTCTTTCAATAGAAAAAAAATACTACATTTCCCCCCCAAAAAAACTATTTCATGCTATGACTGAAACAATTAATCACTTCTAATCAGGGTCACCACTTTTAAAAGACAAAAATAAGAAACAAAATTTCCTGTTATTTTATGGTGTATTTTAAATTCCCTGTATTTTCAAGGTTCTCCCTGTGGAGTGGAAACCCTGCTTATTGCACACTAGATGACAAATTTTAAAGACTATCCTTTTAAATTAAATAAATGTTAATAGCACAAAAAGTTTTAGTGGGGTGTGCTTCTCACTGTCAAAAACTATTTATTAATTAAAACAATATGATAATTTCACACATCCGGAAATTATATCAAAATGTTGTTAACGTGGTCAGTAGTTTTTATGTGATTGGCAGAGAGAACAGTTTTCATTCAAGGTGCATCTGTGTTGAAGAGTATTTGAATTGACCTTAGCAGCAGAGTAAAACTTGGATCCTCATTAAATCAATATTCATGAATTTTGGCTCAATAAGGTTTCAAAGAGCCGTTATTTTCCGATATTGGACCTATATAGAATTTTCCGATTCACCCAATATTTTACAATTACTTTACAACCAATATCGGCTCTATATAGAGCTGTCAGATTCACCCGGTATTTCAGATAAAGGGTGATATCAAATTTAAGTAATTTATGCAAAAAATCAGATTTAATTTCCTTATGGATAACCTTAAAACATTTTCAAGACTTTTCAATTTATAGAAAATGGAAATCAATTTATAACTTAATCTTTTTTATAATGGAAATTAAGTAAAGATTGAGAAACAGGATTTTGGATAGCTAGTTTAGGACACTCCAAAAACTGTCTTAAAATGCTCAAAAGTGTAAGTAATTTTGGAAGCAATTAAAAGACATTTATAACTTCAATTGTGCATTTAATGTATGTAAAAAATAAATAAATACATTTATAGCTCAATTTTAATATTTGTTCAACTTCCATTGAAACATAACTGCCAACATGGATAAGAAAAAATCCAGTAGATTTTACGAAATAATATAAATTTATAGTAATTGTTGCACAATGTTCTAAATATTTTACACATAGGGAATTTTAGGGATTTTCATAGCAAACAAAATAGAAAAACTGCAATATTTTTCAGTTATGATTGACATTAAACATACTCAAAAGGTTATGCATTATGTTTACTCACAATTTTGAATGTTATTGGCACTTAATTCCTCAAAGATAGTTAAAACATGTTTTTAATTAATTTAATGAGAGAGTTCTGAATAAAAATAAATTGAACATTTTAGAACAAAAAAAAAAAGTTCTGAACTGATTTTTATAAATGAGGTTTATTATGTACTTGCAATACAATTCTAGCAAGCAAGTAATAATCTGCACAAAACTTCAATTTCAATAGGAATTTTTTTAGGAGACTTACTCAATTTTAGGGAATTTTCTAAAATGTGCAAAAACCAGGAGATTTTTAATTGATCCAGTAGACCAGGAGAAACTGGCAAAATCCAGTAGTCTACTGGGAAATCCAGTAGAGTTGGCAGCTATGATTGAAATATCAAAATTTCAAGCTTTTTATATATTTTATAATTAAATTTTAAATGTATAATTACAAAAAACATATAACATAAACTCTATATCTATAGCACTATTATTTCCTAAAAGTTCATAATAGTGTCTAACGATTGAAATTAAGAGTGAAGAATTGAAATTGATTACATTAGTTTGAAATACATAACTCAGAAAGTTTTGTGCAAAAGAAAGCAAAAAATAACATAAAAAAAAAACAATATCTCAATTCTATTAATCAAAAGAAAACAAATGAGCATCGAAAGCAAAAAATACTTTAGAAAACATGGGAAAATAATTAAAATTTAATTTTTTCTACAACTCAAGGGAATCATTATTACTCTTCTTGGAATGTGTGTCTTGTGTTAATTCATGCAACAGATGTGTTAATCATCAACAAAAAGAATTAACCTGTCAAAAGAAAATGGTCACAAAGCATGTGCCAATAAATAGAAGGATGAAAAAACAAAATCAATTAATATCACAAACAATTCAGAATTTAAAAAAAATTTAGATAAGTAATAATTGAGTTTTGCCTAAATATTCCATCTTCCTCAATTTTCATAATTTACAAAATCAAATTTAACAAAAGTTATTCATTATCTTTTATGGATGGCTATGACTATTTATTTAACATATTTAGTGTAAAAGTAAAACTAATTGAAAATGAGGTCAAAAAATTAAGTTAAAAGAATTTTTACAAACATCTTGACAAGTTAACTGGTCAAAATTTATACAAGATGATTTTGAGTAATTAATTTAACAGCTTCTTAACACTTAATTGGGAATATCATTTAAGTTGACTGATTTTCTAGAAAACTATCAAAGTATACCCGAGTTTGATCATCAATTATATAATTAAAACTAAATTATGCACGGCTCACGATATTCTTAGGTCTCAAAGAGTCTTAGATTATTTCATCATTAATCTTCTTTCTCATTGGTTGGTTTAATCGTGTCTCTACATCGTTTTTCCACTCATCTCATGTCAACCTTCTTGTATCTTACTATAGCCATTCATTGAATTACACTTAACACATGCAAGGTTCCCACTCTTTCAACAAAGCAAAAATTAAGCACTTTAAAAAAAAAAAAATTAGTACTTTTTTGAAAAATTAAGGAGTTTAAAAATAGAATGATTGTTTATCATCAAATATACATATGCTACCAGTGACAGTGCAAATTATTTACCTTCCCAAAAAAATCAATAAATAAAATATATACTAATAAACAATTTTATTATAATGTAAGCACTGATATAATTGGATTAATTAACAGGGCTCACTAGAGAACTACCAGAGAATTTTTGCAAACCTGGGCCGCTTTAAAAAAAAAAAAAAGCATTTTCAGATTGTTAAAAGTTAACGTCATTCAGATTGTAAAAGTTAGAGCACGAAACTAATCTGCAATCCATTTATAATGATTTCATTGAAATTGAATTGCAAAATTAAATGCAAAAAATTAAGGTTTTGAATTTTTTTCATATATATTTAAAAAAAAAAGAGTAAATAAAGAAATTTGTCTAAAACATTTAAAAAATTATTTCAACAAGTTTTTATGTTTCGCTACTAGACCACAAAATGAGTTATATTTATTTTTCTGATGAACTTAAACAAAATCATTTCCAGCCAAAACTGTTATTAGGAATTAACTTTCATAATGTAACTAAACATTTTGGCAAAAAACATGAACTAATTTTAAAAATTAACAACCAAAAATTTAAACAAAAATTAAAAACAGTATACTAAGTTGCAATGTTAACTGAATAAAATGATTATTAAAATCTAAGGATTTTTTTAGTTGAGTAGATTTAAACTTTTATGTAACAATCTGCTTGTCCTTAAGAAATAAAAATAGCGCAACAATCTAAAACTTAAAAATAGTTACCAAATATTTAACTTTCCTGTTAGAAGCAAATCATGCTTTCTTATTTAGTTTTTAGTAAATTTTTTTAAAAGTATTTTTGAAAAAAAAAAAAAAAAAGAGGTTTTCATCAAAATTCTCATAAATCCCAGGTTTTTGATGAAAAATCTAGGTGGGCTGAGATTTTTCAAACCCTGTTTCTTACAAATGTTTTCAATTTTCAGTATAATCATGAATTTTAAAAAGTGTTATGCTTTCTATAAATTTACAGTTACTTCTTACACACTGAAATATTATACAAATTTATTTAATTCAAGATTTTAGGAAATCGTTTTTGTTATGGATTCTATTAAAAAAAAAGAAAATTCTGATACTTTTCTTAATTCCTATAAGCAGATGCCTCAGCAGCTGAACTGAATTTCTTGAATTCTGTCAATTTTGAAGGTTAGTGTGGGTCTTCTACTTAGGGACTTTAAAACTGCCTCCCCCCCAAAAAAAGCACTATCTCTTCCATGTGCAGTATTCCCCTTGTCCACACTTTATTCTTTTCTGATAGAATGCTTCACTCTCCTCATAGATTATCATTCTAGGCAAAGGCCAGAATATATTAATGAAAGAACATGTTTTCTTCCCTTTGGCTGCACCCCACCCCAACATTAATTTTTGTCTCTCTAAAGTGCTGTACGTTCGAAACATGGTCTAATTGGAAGTCATAAAATAACGACATTTTGTTTTAAAAAATTGAACTGAAAAATTGTTCCTATCAACCATAGTGATGCTGAAAATTTAAGGACTTTTAAAAACCTTGAACCATAATTAAATACTTTTAAGGGCCCTCATTTTCCAAAATAAAAATTAAGCAGTTTTTAAGGATCGTGTAAACCCTGGTATGTAATAAATTTTTGATTAAAGTTAACAAGTAATAATTTAAAGAAAGAAAAAAAAATGAAATTTATGAAATAGAATAAATAAAATTTAGTAGGCATCAAGAGAGTATACTTTTTATGAAAATAAGCAAAAAGGCATTCTTCTTTTACGTTTTCTACCATTTTCTTTCTTAAAACATTTTATTTTTCTATGTGAATTTCATTTCCTTGATAATGACTTGTTTTTAATGAGAAAATTTGCGTAGCAAAATCCTTTGATAACTTAGCATTTATATGTGCCGATTTTAATATCATTTTATGCTGATATAACTTTTCAAAACATTACAATTCTGGAGACAATAAGGGATTCTGAATTTTGAAAAGTTCCTTCAGCCTCATTTTAGGCATCTATATTATATAAAACGCTAATACGTATGTATGTATGTATCAATAAAACCGATGATCTTTCGAAATCTTTTCTCGCGCTGGCAACAGTTTTCATTTTTAATTGATTGAATTCGGCGAGCAAGAGCACATAGTGAGCAACCAGATAACAATAACCAGAGTGAGCATTATCAGGTTGTTCAATTCAGATTCATGTACTAAAAACATGACAATATTTAATTTAAACTCAATTAGGAATTAATTAATTAATTGAAGTGAGAATGCTTTAAAAGGCCGCTGTTGAATTGATATTTTTCTACTGGGAGCTACCTAAACGTCTAAAAAACGTTTAAGTGTTTGTATTGAATGAAATTGAATTTTTTTATATTTCGCGTTTATTTATGCATTGAATTTTCACGCTTTAAAATGCAGAATATTAGTGAATCAATATTCGATAATTTATTTTGCTAATATGTTTCTTATTTAGCTAATGTTTTGATTTTTNAGTTGACTGATCTTCTAGAAAACTATCAAAGTATACCCGAGTTTGCTCATCAATTATATAATTAAAACTAAATTATGCATGGCTCACGATATTCTTAGGTCTCAAAGAGTCTTAGATTATTTCATCATTAATCTTCTTTCTCATTGGTTGGTTTAATCGTGTCTTTACATCGTTTTTTCACTCATCTCATGTCAACCTTCTTGTATCTTACTATAGCCATTCATTGAATTACACTTAACACATGCAAGGTTCCCACTCTTTTAACAAAGCAAAAATTAAGCACTTTTAAGGGCTTCTTTAAAAAAAAAAAAAAAACATTTAGTACTTTTTTGAAAAATTAAGGAGTTAAAAAATAGTATGATTGTTTATCATCAAATATACATAAGCTACCAGTGACAGTGCAAATTATTTACCTTCCCAAAAAAATCAATAAATAAAAAATAAAAAAAATACTAAAAAACAATTTTATTATAATGTAAGCACTGATATAATTGGATTAATTAGCAGGGCTCACTAGAGAACTACCAGAAAATTTTTGCAAACCTGGGCCGTTTTTAAAAAAAATGCATTTTCAGATTGTTAAAAGTTAACGTCATTCAGATTGTAAAAGTTAGAGCATGAAACTAATCTGCATTCCATTTTTAATGATTTCATTGAAATTGAATTGCAAAATTAAATGTAGAAAATTAAGATTTGGAATTTTTTTTCATGCATATTTAAAAAAAAAAGAGTAAGTAAAGAAATTTGTCTAAAACATTGAAAAAATTATTTCAACAAGTTTTTATATTTTGCTACTAGACCACAAAATGTGTTATATTTATTTTTCTGATGAACTTAAACAAAATCATTTCCAGCCAAAACTGTTATAAGGAATTAACTTCATAATGTAGCTAAATATTTTGGCAAAAAACATGAACTAATTTTAAAAATTAACAACCAAAAATTTAAACAAAAATTAAAAACAGTATGCTAAGTTGCAATGTTAACTGAATAAAATAATTATTAAAATCTAAGGATTTTTTAGTTGAGTAGATTTAAACTTTTATGTAACAATCTGCTTGTCCTTAAGAAATAAAAATAGCACAACAATCTAAAACAAACAATCTAAAAATTTTTACATTGCAACAAAGCAAATTAAAAATAGTTACCAAATGTTTAACTTTCCTGTTAGAAGCAAATCATGCTTTCTTATTTAGTTTTTAGTAAATTTTTTTAAAAGTATTTTTGAAAAAAAAAAAAAAAAAATTTGAGGTTTTCATCAAAATTCCCATAAACCCCAGGTTTTTGATGAAAAACCTAGGTGGGCTGAGATTTTTCAAACCCTGTTTCTTACAAATGTTTTCAATTTTTAGTATAATCATGAATTTTAAAAAGTGTTATGCTTTCTATAAATTTACAGTTACTTCTTACACACTGAAATATTATACAAATTTATTTAATTCAAGATTTTAGGAAATAGTTTTCGTTATGGATTCTAGTAAAAAAAAAATTCTGATACTTCTTTTCTTTATTCCTATAAGCAGATGCGTCAGCAGAAGAACTGAATTTCTTGAATTCTGTCAATTTTGAAGGTTAGTGTGGGTCTTCTACTTAGGCACTTTAAAACTGCCCCCCCCCCTCAAAAAAAGCACTATCTCTTCCATGTGCAGTATTCCCCTTGTCCACACTCTATTCTTTTCTGATAGAATGCTTCACTCTCCTCATAGATTATCATTCTAGGCAAAGGCCAGAATATATTAATGAAAGAACATGTTTTCTTCCCCATGGCTGCACCCCCCACATTAATTTTTGTCTCTCTAAAATGCTGTACGTTCGAAACATGGTTTAATTGGAAGTCATAAAAGAACGACATTTTGTTTTAAAAAATTGAACTGAAAAATTGTTCCTATCAACCATAGTGATGCTAAAAATTTAAGGACTTTTAAAAACCTTGAACCATAATTAAGTACTTATAAGGGCCCTCATTTTCCAAAATAAAAATTAATCAGCTTTTAAGGACTGTGTAAACCCTGGTTTGTAATAAATTTTGGATTAAAGTTAACAAGTAATAATTTGAAGAAAGAAAAAAAAATAATGAAATTTATGCAATATTTATCTTAAATAAATTTTAGTAGGCAACAAGAGAGTATACTTTTTATGAAAATAAGCAAAAATGCATTCTTCTTTTACGTTTTCTACCATATTTATCTTCCTTAAAACTTTTTATTTTTCTATGTGAATTTTATTCCCTTGATAATGACTTGTTTTTAATGAGAAAATTTGCATAGAAAAATTCTTTGATAACTTAGCATTTATATGTGCCGATTTTAATATCATTTTATGCTGATATAACCTTTCAAAACATTACAATTCTGGAGATAATAAGGGATTCTGAATTTTGAAAAGTTCCTTCAGCCTCATTTGGACCCATTTTAGGCATATCTGGTATATCCCATTTAAGGCACCCTATTCCTGATCTCCTTCATTATTAACGGGTTAATTAAAAACACAACCCCTCTGTCTACTTCAACCTCTCAATATGCCCTACAGTTATAACACTGTTTAGTTCTTTCAATAGTTCTATGTATCCATTTTTTAGAAAAGCGGTAGATTATGAAAGCTAATTATTTTATTTTATAATCTAATTTTTGGCTTTAAGTTAGACGTTGCCCAGCACTTCCTCCTGGGCCCTTGAGGGAATGTTATTGGCAGGCGAGATACATTATTAATGACCTATAGACTCTTTCTTTCTGTAGCTCTTGTTTCCATTTTTTTGTTCTTTCTTTGTATTGTTCTACAAATTTGTCTTTCATGTCTGCATTAGGAAATAATTTTTTTTTTCTTTTTTGGCTTTACGACATCTAATATTCAACTTCGTAGCTTTGTCATTTTGAGCCTAATAAAGAAGAGAAGGGAACTCCTGGATCAAGTATTGGGAGAAATTCACCTTCGTGGATGACTTTTTGATGGAACTAACCCCCATTTGAGTTACATGGTGAGGAAAACCTTCCACGGTTATCATGACAGCAAGGGGACACAAACCAACGATGCAAGTCAGCATCGTGGTCGGCGCGAGTTGGATGCGGAATTCGTATCGACCAGCCATAACTGGGATTCGAACCCAGTTCACCTTATTGGAAGGCGAATGCTCTATCTCCTGAGCCATCACAGCTCAAGAATGAGTTATTGGTCGCCAGTGGATTTCTTGCCAAAAAGCCTAGCACGATGCATGTTGAGCTTTAACATGATTAGCAACATGCGTCTCTTTAGCTACATTATCACATTGGCCAAAGTCTTTTGAATAGCAAAATACCTTTCTATCAGTATGTCTACTGGGTGTTTAAATCCCCTCAAAGAGTGCAGTTCAAGGGGATTCCATACAAATTAAGCAATCTAGTCTCCTCCCCTAACTCCCTTGCCTCACCAAATAATCTTTCTTTAAGGGCAATAATGTTTTTCAGAATCATTCTCATAATCTCTCTAAATTATTTTTTAACCCTAATAGTACTTAATGAAAAATTAAAAGCCAGATTACCCAGCTTATCATTAAGGCACACATTAAAAATAACTAGTTTAAAAGATATTTCAGTAGAATGCAAAAATTTCCCCTTAAAGAGAAGGAATGTCCAAAAAAGCGAAAGTCATCAAAATTGATGTCTTAATAAATTAACGTTTCCAAATGTTCACCTGTTTTACTTGCTTGAGCTCTTTACAGTTAGCATAGAGAGATCTTGCTTGTGGCCAAGTACCATCCAGTATTATGATATTGTATGGGTCACAGTCATTCTGACCGACGACAGGCAGTGACTCAATGCCCACCGCTGAAGGTCCAGGATAAAAGAGAAGTGTCTTTGGAGACAACAGAAGAGATCTCAATTTTTCATTCCTAAACAACAAAAGCAATAGATTATTCCAGAGTGTGCCTCTGGTATGATTTACATAAATTTACTTAAAAAAAAAAAAAAAAACATTGCTGCAAAGCTCTATGCAGAGTTCTTACATAAAGATTTTTTTTGGGGAAGTAAAAAATTTTGGTTCGCTTTTCTGCAGAAAATTACACGTACAACTCAAATCGAACATTTAAATAATCACTTTTCGAAGAGCTTAATTTATGCCAAAACAAAAAATCTATTTTTATTGTATTTTCGGCAGTTGACATTGATTTTCATGTCGTTTTTAGATATCCCGATATATTTCAGGCGATACAGGAAATTTGAGTAGTGTATTTGATCATTTATTTTTTAAGGCAATGATTCTATCAATTGCTTTTAGCAGTTACTGCTTTTGATTTCCACATAGTTTTTAAAACATGATCTTTTTAATACGATATTATTTATTACAACAATCAAATCTTGAAACGAAATATGCCTCCTTTCTGAAGAGTCTGATTTGTGTGATTTCATCGTTGATCAATTTTTCGGTACTTACTGTCACAGATTTCATGATATTTAATTACTTTTTTAACGTGATGACGATTTTCATAATGCAATAAAGGAAATAATTAGTGCATTCAAACCCCCCCAACAAAATGGAGAATATCGAACATAATATTAGAAAAAAAAATATGAATTCATATAAAATAATTACATTGCTTTTTTTTGCTTTTGTAAACACTGCGCTTTTGTTATTTTAAATTAGTAACATATATGTTTGTAATTAAAAGTATCTTGCAGAAAGATGTTAGTGCTAGAGAGTTTTGCTGCAGATAGCTCGAAAAAATTCTGTCACAGGGCATAAAAGTATGTTTTCTTTTACGTGTTCCTTATATCATCACATTTTGGTGTGTAAGGATTATTGCAAGCTTTCTTTTTAAAAGCACAAAAACTGCTTAGAAAATTGCTTAACTTTTTATTTTTCAAATCAGACACATATCATTAGTTACCAAATACATTCACTACAAAATTATGAAGGAAAAAAAAAGTTTAAAATTTTTTTCCGCTCAGTATAAAAGAACTAATTTAAATGCTCATATTTTACCTAATTCTTAACGATTTTTTTTTCAAATTAGAATATAATAATTTTCTTATTAATTAAAAATTGCTCCGAAAATTATGCTCAATTTTAATAAATATTAATAAAGTTAAAGCCAAAAATACATAAAATAAAAATATTAGTTGCTCTTTTTAAAAAATAAAAATGCCCATTTCTCTGTAAATATTTAGGTTAAGTTTACAAAATTTCAAGCAATCACTGCAAATAACAAGCAAAGTAATCGATACAAGTTACAATCTTATTGCTTAATTTCAAAAATATTTGTTTTTATTCAGAACTTATAACTGGTCTTCAAACATTTCTTTTGAGCAGGGTGCATAGCCAAACCGGTCAACAAAAAATAAGCACCTTTTAAGTACTTTTTAAGCACTCAAAAAATATTCTTAACCACTATATACTTTAACAAAATATAAAATAATTTTCAAAGACTTTACATGATCATGATAAAATAACTAGTTTCTGAGACAGAACTCCTTTCTTGATCAAATTAGCCATTATAAAATGATCGAGAAATTTTTTATTTCCATATCAGAGGGTGGAAAATGAAGCCTGAAATGGAGAATATCTTGCAAAATGCACATAATGCAATAATATCACCGAAATACTCAGCAGTCACTCCCAAGTATTGCACCAAACACGTAACATGATTGGCGCTATCATACGTTATGGGCTGACAGCACACGGAAATGGATTGTGGTTGAATGAATCGTGAAAACAGTAAATAGAACAGGGTATGTAGCCAAATCTTTCAACAAAAAATAAGCATCTTTTAAGCACTAAAAATATATTTTTAAGCACTACATACATTAAAAAAATTGCAAAATAATTTTCAAACATTAAATGATCATGATAAAATAATGTAAAACACGTAAAATGATTGGCGCTTTCATATGCTATGGACCGACTGTATGCCAAAATGGATTGTGGTTGAATGAATTGCGAAAATGTTGAATAGAACAATGTGAAAAGTACGCTTTTGCATAGTGCATGGCGAAAATTGACACGGTAAAAAATTAAAACCTCATTTTCGAAAAGGGAAAATTAAGCACTTTTAAAAAACACCCAATGAAAAAGACTTTTAAAAAACGAAAATAAGCACTTTTTAAAAACCCTATGCACCATGTAGAATAATGTGAAAACCACGCTATTGCACAATATGTAGCGAAAATTGACATGGTAAAGAAAAATATCATTTTTGAAAAGGGAAAACTTTTTATGAGAAAAGCACCTTTTAAAAAACGAAAATAAGCACTTTTTAATGCACCATGTTGATAGGAAATCACCATTAAATTTACAAAACAAGTATTTCTTGAGACGAAAACTGACTGTAGTGTAGAGGATAAAAGAAATCGTAACTTACAACATGGATGAAAATCTCCTTCCTTTAAACAAAATGAACTTATCTCTGGGAATGGAATATTCCAGCATGGGTGCAGTTCGAAGGCAGCGTTTTTCCTACAATAACAATACTTATTTTAATCCATACATATCTACTTTTTTGTATTATATAATATGTATGCAAATTGTTGTTTCATGCATATTATATGATTTGAATTAGATAATATGCATGCAACAAGGATAGGAAAAAATCCAGTAGATTTTATGAAATAATATAAATTTCATGATAATTGTTGCACAATGCACTAAACATTTTACGCGCAGGGAATTTTAGGGATAGTCATCAAAAAAGAAAAACTGCAATATTGTCCAGTTATGATGGACATTATATAACATTAAATGAAATGTTATGTATTATGTTTACTGATAATTTTGAATAGTAAAAGGCATTTAATTCCTGAAAGATGGTTAAAATATTTTTTAATTAATTTAAAAAGGTAGTTCTGAATTAAAATAAACTGAACATTTTAGGACAAACACAGTTTTAAACCAATTTTTATAAATGAGGCTAGATTTATTACATATGATACTCATCTTAATATCCAAGCAAAGTAATAATCTGTGCAAAAATTCTATTTCAATAGGGATGTTTTAGGAATCTCACTCAGTTTTATGGAATTTTCTAAAATGTACACAAACCAGTAGATCAGGAGAAACTGGAAAAATCCAGTAGTCTACTGGAAAATTCAGTAGATTTTGGACAGAGGCAAGGTGGGGGTTTTGTATGTCCTTAACTGGTTTGGGACAGGACACATGGGTTTTATTGTCTTAAACTGACAAAAACTGTCTGAAATTGTCTCAAAGTGTCCAAAACCTTGAACTTTGTTAAAAGGTTAAAATTCTATAGGTGTAACCATTGCACACATAATAATTACATAAATATTTGATACTTTTTATACAATTTGCTTTAACCTATTAAATGAAAATAATATAATAGGAAAAGATTAATAACTTTCGAAGCTTCACAATTTATTGAACAAAAGTGAATACCTTATTCTTTAAATATGCTTTCAATACTGATAAATTATGTTTTTGCATAAGGAAATAATGCAATATTAAAAATAACAAGAAATTTTTTAATTAAAACAAAAATTTGTCTTCATTTTGTTTCTTGTTCAAAAATTAAAATTTTATTTTTCACAATATTTTTTAAAAAATTTGTCATAATTTGAATAAAAGGGTTTTGGACATGACAGTTTAAACCCTGGTTAAAACTGAGGAATAATCCATTCTGTCCTAAACTTTGCCAACTCTGAATAGGAGTGGTAAAAAAAATCAGTTATTACTACCAGTAAACATTATCAGTTTAAACTTACTGAAACAAATATTAATACACAAATTTAGCAACGACTAGAAAAATTTTCACAAAAAGCGGCATATTCTCCTAGATACAAACATCAAACCGTATAATACAGAATAACCATAAAAAACAGGCTATATTATAATAACTTACAGCTACGGTATATATTACTTACCATAAAAAACAAGCAGAATGTACTGAATATACTTAATTAGATAATAGAGAAGAATTATTAATGACAATATGCAAAATACTTTTTAAAGCAAGCAAAATATAAATTTAAAATATAATAAACAATTTTGGTACTTATGAATTTATTAAATGCATTTTAATAATTGATCATAAACGCTAATTAAATGTCGGTAATTAATACACCATTACCCCATTTTTAATGAAGAATAATTAATTCAGCATTACTTTTTCTCCATATAAGAAATTTCCACAGAAATTTTGGAAATTTTTTTCACTCCGTAAAAATTTTTATGAGCTCCTATAATCAGGGTATCTGCTACATTTTAGATTTTCAAATCCATGACTTTTCATGACTAATTCCAAGAATTTTTCATGACTTACCGAAGTTATTATTTTCTCTGACAAAAACAACAATAAATTTATAAAAGCATTATAAATAGCATTAATTGAAATGATAGGTATAATCAAAACAGTTAAACTCTGTATCTCCATATTTAATGATTTTCAACTTACAAACTGATTAAAGTAGGAGTTGAAGCAATAAAATAGCTAAAAAAACAAAAAACAACAACATACAGTCAGATACATGTAGTTAATTACACCTGCTTTATTTTTTCTTAAAATTGCAATATAAAAAACATTAACTAGAATTTTATAAATTGACAAAATAAAAATAATTAATAGATAAAAAAAAAATTCTGAAATCACAAAAGTTTCAAAGATAATTCGCTTTAGAAATGATGTTCTTTCTTTCATTTCTTGAAAGAACACCATAATTTTTAAAGAACAGGATAAAAACATTTAATATTTTAATAAAATATGACTGTAAGTGAATATTTTGCAACAAATTGAGATATTCGGGACACCATGAAATTAGAGGTAAATTCCATTTTAGAAATTAGATTTTTTGGCATCCTAAATCCATGACTTTTCATAATAAATTTTGCACAATACTGAAATCCGTGACTTTCCAGGTGCGCAGATACCCTGTATATTGTATAAGTACCAAAATTTCATTTTGTAGTAATATTTAAATGAATATCTACTTCTGCAGGATGTTGAAGAATTATGATAGTGCATTGAATGGGTAATGGTTCAGCAGGTAAATATGGACACCAACACACTCTTTTTGGTCTCCTGTAAAACAAAAATTATTATTTCAGGGATAATTGTGAGCCCAACTCAAAAATCCTGAAAATTTCTTGAGTAAAATCATTAATGACGCGTTTCAAAAAATTAATGTCTTTAAAAATTTAATTCACTGATATTTTCACAACGTAAAAGTCTAAATAAATTTTATGCAGAATAATTGAAACGAATAATTATGTATAAGTTTACTTTTATCTCTGATCACATTTATTATTCTACCAGAAAAACATATTTACAAATGAAAAATATGCCAAGCATAAATACTAGTTTGAATATTTTTAAATAAAATATACAAGAATTTTTATACATAAATGTGATAGATGAATTCCTGAAACTTCTGGACCTCGGATTTCTAGAAATTTCAGAACCACGGTTAACGAAAATCCTGATTTTTTCTGGAGCGCAATAATTTTTGTTATTTAGAAGGTTCAGCAAAAACTACATGAAAAGAACACCATTTTGGATCAGAAAGTAAATAAATTTGATTTTTGGAATAGATAGATTTGGAGCAGCACAGTGCTTGAAAAATTACATTTTTGAACAGATATACAGTCCCTGGAAAAATAATTAGACGCTCTGTAGTTTTTTAATAACGACATGTTTTGCACGAGTTTATATGCAATACTTTTATATTTAGACATGTTATGGGTTTTTATTCAGGTTTCTTTTTATATACTACCAAGGGTCTGTCCAGGGTAAATTTACTACCCTTTAGCGGTACCTTGACAAATTCAACTTTAGGAAAAACGGTAGTAAAAGGAAATACTTTTTGCAATCCCATTCTCTTTGCAATCTATGGAAAAAAGGAGCTTTTCTGCCAGCTGTCTAATATGAAAAGGCACCACATGTTTGGTCAGATATTGCAATGTAGTAAGTTTGTCGTTTACACCATATCTAAGCGAGCCTTTTTTTGTTGTTCCAGAGTTTCTTAAAATGTAACAATGAGGCTAACTATAACTCTATAAACAGGAAGTCAAAATTTAAACAATATCTTATATACTACTGTAAATTTATTCTAACAGCCCTTTATTTTTTATGAAAATTTTCTTTCTCTGTGAAACTTTTTTCTGTATGGTCTAGTAGAAAATGATCTCATAATGAAAATAACTTTCAGTGCTCACTGTTATATGCTTGTTTTTTTCTTAAATTCAAGTTGAAATTCAACTATGAGTCAATGATTTTTAAATTTGGATACAATTTTAAGTCCAAAATTTTGCAATAGCAAAATTATTTTTGAATATATGGGGAAAAATATATAGAAATTTACCAGTCATAAATGATTTTTATTTGTAGTGACAATTTTTTGAAAATATTTTATTACTTTACCATATTTTTGTATTTATTTTTTAATATGGTTTTTAATTTTCACAAATTATGTCTAACTTTTCACAAAATAGATACCTTTCAAAAAAACCTAGACTGACCCTTGACTACTTAATTATATTTGTTTTTAACTTAAGAAAGTAATATTTGTAAGTTAATATTAAATTACAAAAGGAAAACAAAAGCTAACAATTAAAATAAGCTATGCAACTAACAGTTATAATAGTAATTTAACAAAGGATAATTAAAAAAAAAAAAAAAAAAACAAGCTAACAATGAGTAATTAGCAAAAAACAACAAGGAATCACAATAAAAACAATTAATGTAAAAATAAACTAACAATTAATAATTATGATAAACAAACTAACAATTAATAACAAACAAAAAAAAACAAGTTAACAAGGACAAGTTAACAGCAAAAAAAGAAGTTAACAAGGAATCACAAAAAAATGTTAATTAATGTAAAAAAAAACTATCAATTAATAACTATAAAAAACAAGCCAACAATTAATAACTAGCAATATAAACATTTTAGACACGAAATATAAATGAAATTATCAAAAGACATTATGTAATTCGTATAACTTGTAATTAATCCCTTAATGAACATACTGTTACTTTTGAAGTACATATTATTTTATTTCACATTAAAAATTATTATCATAAACTCTTTTAAACAATTTATTATAGGTAAATAAACAACTTTTAAACTTATTTTTTTCTTTGTGTGAAAGTGTTAACACTAGAAAGACTGAAATTCCTATATTGCCCAAAAGCAGTCAAAATGACTGCATTGTGAAAGAATAATAAATGTATAAAAAATTTGTTTAAAATTAATTTTTAATATTTTTGATATTATTTTCAGTTATATAACAAGTTATTAGTAAATAACAACAATAAAAATAATTATTAAAGTCATAAAATTCTAAGTATTTGTGTCATTATATACATCAATGTTTTTCTAATTGAAATTAAAAGTCAAATGAATGACTTCCTTGGGCAATCTAGTGTTAAAAGTGAGCAGAGTCATTAAAAGGTTCAGAATCACTGATTTAGATGGGTTTTTTTTTTTTTTTAAATCATTTAGAGCACAAAAATCCACTTTTAGATAAATATGACGATAAAAATAGTTTTGCACACACATATATTTCATTCTGGTTCGTTCATGCCACAGTTACTTTCAAATTAAATAAAGTTTTAAGAAACTAAAAATTTTGCATTTGTTCTTGATACTGTCTAAGAAATATCAGACAAACCACAAATATTGGTAGCAGCATGCAAGTGGGGAAATTAATTTTTCTTAAATCATTCAATTTATTTATTTTACATAAAATACTTAGAATTTTCTTTTTCGGGGAGACGCTATTCCCCCACTTTTTGTTCACTTACTTGTACCACGGACCAAAGTTATTTTTAAAGCGTTTCCAGATTAAAGCTCAATTTAGTATTTCAAAACTGATGTAAAAAATTAGCATTTATTATATCTAATTTCAAAAATATTTGCAAAACATTACTTACAAACAACGAATACAGAGTTCTCTTTTAGTTGGTGGATCGGCTGGTATGCATGCTAACTCTTGAATTACACCACATAATTTTTCATTATTTAATTCCATCTAAATAAGTTACAGAATTAAAAGAAGTATCAAATGAATCTCATTAAGAAGAAAATCATTGGCTGGGCTTCAATCAACGACGGCTTCTATCTTGTCATACAAAGATTACTTGTTGATAGCTAAGGTTTCTTCAAGAAATTTAACAGAATAATCCACTTGCGTTTAGCTTACTTCTTATGATATATTTGAGTAGCGCCACCTATTGCAATTTATGCGAAGTAATTTTAATTTGAAATTATTTATTAAGTTCAAGTGAAAATGCATATTATAATAAAAGCAAAAATAATTTTCATTGACTTTTATATCAGAAATTAAAGTTTTAGGGAGAAATTAAATAATTATCACCGACAAAATTTAATTAATATCATCGTAATATAAAAATGTGAGATGGTCAAAAATAGAAGAATATCCAGTAAAAATAATATTTAAAAAAACTTTTAAGGGAGATAAATAATACAAGACAAATAAAGAAAACCAGAATAAAAAAAGCATTTCTTTAATTAAAAAGATTTCATTTAAAATTTCGATTTATGCCATTATTTATCAAAAATAAACTACCAAAAACAAATCACAATAATCTGAATGCCTTTTTTAATTGAATTTACTGTTAAACAATAGAACTTTCTAGGAATTACAGTGATAAAAATATTTTACAAGTAATAAAAAAAAAGGATTTAAATAGTGAATAATTATTTGTCTTCTAAGTAATGGAAAATTGAACTAAATCTTGCACAGTTATATCACAAATAGTGCAAGAGTTTTTTGTTTACGAAATAAACTTTAATCTCTATTCTAAACCAAAAAATAACTGTTAAAATCTATTGGTATTTGTATCATAAATTAAAGTCAAATTTGAAATATTTTTACTTTCAATCAAATTAATAACTAGCAATATGAAATATTTTTACTTTCAATCAAATTAATAACTAGCAATATGGAATATTTTTATTTTCATTCAAATTAATAAAAAAGGAAAAAAGGAATTCTAAGAAATAAAGATTTATTTCTTTTCATGGTGATGCAAAAGATTTTCAATACCATTATAGTGTATGTACCACTACAAAAATGCAATTACAATTCACAACTACGACGTGCGACACTCCCCACATTGGTGATCTTCAAACGTGATGTGAACACGTCTATCCTGAGAGAAACTTTGATTTGAACACGCCTACTTCGATGGATTGTCCACATTGAACAGTTGACTTGCTACTTGTGAATGCGACATTATCTTTCTCGTCGCACTGTTGCTACTCGGTCTCGATCACACATAACGTACAACGTATTTACTCGACTGCTAATTTCAACACAGGAGCGACCCCGACCGTGAACTTAATTACAGCTCTCACGATTACACTCAAAAAGTACGGTGATCTTAATACAGCTCTCCTGGCTTCTCAGAAAACGAGAATAAATCAAATAGTGGTATCCATTCATCGAATTCAATGGCTGCTATAATTCTGAGAGTATTGTAGTGTGTATTTACCACTACAAAAATACAATCCAATTCACTAGTATATAAGACATGCCCAGAAAGCATGTAACCTTACGGCAATCTTGTGTCGGAATTTTCTTTTCATTGTCTCGAAAATGTTTGTACTACTGAAAACCTTTTTTCAACAAAGTAAAAATATTGCAATTTTAAACCTTTCCTCCTAAAAGGATTTAAAATTATTTTTTAAAGCTTTTCTAAAAAGTATTGTCCCTTAGGTCCATAATGACGTTTTAGCTGACGTCACACTAGCGATAGGATCAAATTGCATTGTCCATTAAAATTTCATGACAAGGTGGATTTTAGCTGAGTATGCAAGACATTGCAAAAAGAAACCTTATAATTACCTAGATTTAAGTTTATTTTCCCCTCGAGACTAGCTTTATTGAACGATTTTTTCACGCTTGATAACCCTAAGTCAAATTCGACTTAAGGTTTTTATATAGAAGATTGTTTTCCAGGGTTTTGGATTAGGGTAGGTGCGTAGAATAGAGCACATTGTCACTTATCTCGTTTTAAGGATAGAAGATAGAAGGTTTACTCATAAACCTCCTTACAAACTTTTTTTGGTTTGCATTAAAAAGTTTTTGCTTACTGGAAATAAACCTTATTTTGCTATCTGGGTTATAGTTGTATTGTATCTTGTATTTCTCTTTAAATGTAAACAATCTGTTTCGCAGAAACGGAAATGTAGATTTTGTAAAAATATTATTGTGTTTTAATCTGAAACTATGTACAGTGAAACCTGTTTTTGTGCGGTTCTTTTTTATGCGATTTTATTTTTGCGCGATTTATTTTTATGCGGTATATGAATCTTAGCGGTGTTAGCGCCAGTTTAATGTTTCCTATCAATGTGCATATACATGTTGTGGACGAACTCTGACAACGATGTATCTGAACTTCGCGATGCTCTGTTTATTTACTTTCATTAGTTCATTTATTATCGTCAACTCCATTTTCTCTTCTGTTTAAAATTTATTCTGCGCTAAACAAGTTGAAGTAAATCAGTAAAAAATCGTTTGCTGTGTTAAAATATTTAGTATTTTAAAATTAAACCGTTTAAATTCTCGTCTGCGTGTATCTCAAATACTATACGCTTCGTATTCAGAGTTTTATACACGATTCATTAGATTAAGGATTCATTTTATAGTGAGATTAAAGGTAAAAAAATTAATTACTTTTGTTTCTATTTATATGTAGTTTTTATGATTTTTATTTTATTTTATCTGATGACTGACTTTATGGTACCAAAAAGCAAATCAAATGAAATCCTATCTTCAAGCGACGAAAGCGATTTTCAACCAATTCATTCCAAGAAGATGCGCGTTTTGGATTACGACGAGTAGCAGCAAACTATTTAATGCATAGTTTGAAAACTTCTCCATGTATATCTACAATGAAGAATTAAATATTTTTACAATTTCTTTAGGTCTAATTTAATTATATAATTTAATTGAAAGCATTCTCACATCTATTTCATGAATCATTGATGTATTTTCTGAGTCCGACTTTTTTTATGCGGTCCCTAACCACCGCATAAAAAAAGTTTTAGGTTGTATATCGTACAAAGTTGTTACTATTATATGTAAGAATTTATAAAATTTTCGAATATTTTTTTTCGTACGATTTCTTTTATGCGGTCCCTATCCATCGCACAAAAACAGGTTTTACTGTAATTGTTGTAGATACAAATAAAAGAGATTTTTTTGAAATGTGCTTCGATTAATTTATAAAATTCCTATCACTTGAAAGAAGTTTTCAATATTATGCACACTTTTCTCCTTAGAAAACAAATTAATATAATTTTATTGTAAGAACTTACAAATTGGTTGGATATGAAATTCTTGTAGGATCATTTTCAGCATCCCGTATAAATGTATAGACCTCTTGGGGGATGAAAATTGAAATTTACTTGAAAAACAATTTTAACTGATACAAATTTAGTTTAAACGGCATTTTCAATAATTCTTCAGAATTTACTAAATCTACGTTACCTTTCGTATGAGAGTAATTTTGAGTGTTTCAACAATACAAACGTCAAATGTGCTGTGTTAATTTCTGAATATATATTAATCTTTTGAAACTAGACTTTCAGATAAATAGCTGTTCCAGAATTCTAGAGGACTTCTTGACCTTTAAATTAAATTTTAAGTTTCTAGCTTCTTTCAGTTTTACTTTGAGTAAAATTTTAATATGGCGCAGTAAAAATCATATCTTCGCTTTTAGCATTTGAGATTAGATTTAGTTAGACTGTCGGAAAATTAACAAAACTATCTGCTCTTAATGTGTGATCATTGCGTCTTCTTTATCCTGTTTATTTTTTACAATTTTTTAAGCTTAACTCATATTTTTCTTCTTCTCATCATTACTGAAGTTAGTAATGTCAATAGCATAGTCCAATAGAATCCTTCGGAGTCTGTTCAGAAGCTCTTGCGTATCAAATATCTGTAAAAATTCTTAGAAATGACCAATTGCAGAGACCTTAATATCTAAATAATTGTACTTAAATCAGTGTTAATCTATAATTCAATTCACACGAATTAAAAAATATTATTGTTCCATTATTTCAAAGAAATTATCGAAACTTAAAGAAGTAAAATATTTCAGTAAAAAAAAATATGGTAGAAATTATAGTGCGCGCTCTCCGCCAACAGCCTTGTTGTAGCCATGTGTTGACACTCTCCGCTTCTATCATTAGCAGAATAAAAAATAGTGAGCACAATAGAATGCAGAAAAAAATTAAAAAGCAGATTATGGCCTTGGCCTGAATTTCTACAAGTGAGCAGTGGTGGCCCAGGAGATAGAGCATTCGCCTTCTAATGAGGTTACTATTCCCGGGTTCGAATCTCAGCGATGGCTTGTCGATACGAATTGTGCATCCGACTTACACCGACCACAGTCAGACGCGAAATATCCTCAGAGGTAGACGGATCATGGGTTAGTCCCCCTTCCTTCAGACTTTCAGTAGGAGGTTCTCGTGGTCTTCCTCTCCATGTAACGCAAATGCGGGTTAGTTCCATCAATAAGTCCTCCACGAAGGCTAGTTTCTCCCAATACCTGATCCAGGAATTCCCCTGTTCTCTAGATAGGGTTCAAAATTACAAGTACTAACACTATAAATTGAGTCTGCCGTTTATAAATGGTTATAAAATGAAATTTTTACTTGTTATAACAGAACATTCGACCACGATTGAAACAAATCTCTAAAAATAACGAGTGTATAATAGTGCTACTACCTTAGGATAATTCGTTTTATTAGTTATGATGGGTGTTGTGAGTGAATTTCTGTCATTCACAAAATCGGCAGGAGTTTGTAACAGGGCTCACTTTTGTAGGTCAGAGCCCGAAGAATTATTACACGAGCTCGAAATACACAGAATAGAACCAGAGTCCATTAGAGCCTGAGGTATACGTCGGCTTTGACTAAACAAGGAAATTATTCATTTAAAACCTTTTATCGTAAGTAAATGTTTACACTTAATAATTGAACACAACGTTTGCTTAAAAGTAGTAAAAAACAAATTGCTGGACATTTTATCTGGAGTCAGAGCCTACCCGAAACCTATTCAGTAAAAGAGAGTCCGAGCCCGTCTCGGTCGGTATTCTGTTAGGCGAATGTTTAGGCGATCTGATTGTTAGGCGAATCTTGGGTTAAATCTGTCATGACTCTATCATTTCCCAAC